CAAGTTTCAATTAAGTGGGCATTAATTATTAGTAATTAATTTTGATATTAGAGGTTTCATTTTGAATGAAGTTGCTTATTTCTAAAAAAAAGAAAAAGAGGTAAAAGGGTTTAATAATAAATTAATCAGTCACTAACGCTTGTTTTTTTTTTTGGCCAAAACTCAGCCAGTAACTCACTGTTCCATTTCTCTGAGAGATTGTCGACATAAATTGAATTAGGTCGGTGGTTGCCAAGTTGAACCATCTAAGAAAAAAAGGGTACGAGAAATTGAAGAATCCAGTGATGGATTAGCAGTCCCATCCATGTAACAACAGGCAGTAAAGATATATATGCTTACCTTTTGAATGTTTTAACTTGGCCAGTCACGCCAGGTTTCCATTTCACTTTGTTTTATCTTTTGTCTGCTTCATAGGGTACAAATTTGAGTGCTCTACTCTATTGTCTAATAATCTTCTGAATCACTTGATTTGTGATTGAGCTCATTAGCTATAAAATAATTATTTACTATATTATTAATCACCTACCTGGCTTTAAAGAAACCACGTATATATAAAAATAGTAGTAATTCAAATAGTGAAGTTGATTAAGTCAATTCCCGTTTATCTATCAATAATATATATATATATATATATATGTATGCGCGCACATACACCCCTGTGAATATCCCTAACTAAAGTCCAAGAAAATTGGACATGTTGGAACATAGCAACAAGATTTAAGGACCTTATCACTTAATTACAATCCCTTTCAAAAGGTTCAAATTAATAAATATCCTTGAGAATCCGGCTGCCATTTGAATATATCCCTAGCTTGACTTCATGTGGCTGCATGCAAGAGAGAAAAAAAAAAAAAACCAAAGTACTTTAAACAATCCACATCAGAATGTTCGTCGAAACAAGTAGTGGTTGAACTTGTACATTGACTACAGATTAAGGGTCACAGCCTCACAGGTGCCTGCAAATAGAATATTGGTATCATGCATTAGAATAATGCATGGAAAAAAAAAAAGTAAAATTTTAAGCATGATTAATCTAAGGAATGTAAATTATGTTTCATCTAATAAAGTAAAATAATATTTTATCTTTAATCTAAATAAAGAAAATTTCATATTGACTGATAGTTAATATATTAAATTTTATTATCAAAATTAACAAAATGATATATACCTTTTAAAATATAATAAAAATAATTAAAAAAGATGCTGTAAAATTAAAGAGTTTTATATTTATTAAGAAAACCCATAGCTCAAGGCTTCTTTTACTCCTTATATTTTCATGAGAAAGCAAATGAATAGATGTAGAATGAATTAATAATTCTAGAATATTCATTTCAAAGGAGAATCTGCACCAATCAGATGTGGAATGTAGGGCAGGGTATGCCTCCTCTTTGAATTAAGCCTCTATGTGTTTCTTGCTGCCTGGAAGTTAGCGAAAAGAGCATAAAATTGTCTCATAAAGATTTAATTAGTATTTTAGAGAACAAAAAAGAAAAAAACTGTGTCGTAAAATTTAAAAAAAGGCATAAGTCTCTTTCCCACCTTTTAATCACATCAAATATCCTTCGGGATTTGATTCTCCGGCCTTGTTTTTCAAAAGAGATGGTCTTCCAAAGCTAACCCTTTAATCCATCCACTAATTAAAATTATTCTATGTGCCCCCATTTTGATCTAAGATGTAACACCTTGCCCGCACCTTCCGACCCCACCCTACCTAACATGATTAACTCTCTAATTTTCATCTCTAATTGTGAATTAGCTGTCCTAACTATGATTATATCCTATCAGAAGAAGAATTATGACCCATGCACCGCGATCCAGGCTTCCCCAAAGTCTTTTACCAACAACCAATTTTTGCCTGGAAAACATATTGGCTTCTATGCCGACTAGCCAAAACAGTTGTTAAGGCCTTGTCGGCAGATTCCTTATCACCGTTAGGCTCCCACTTTCATTTGTGGTTAGTGACGTAAAAGATAATGTTTTTTCTATTGACTTGTAATTGCATGTAAATTGATTCATAATCAAATGTAGGCTTTGCTTAATTGACAAATCAAATCCTTTTTTTTCCTTGTCATGTTTGATGAAAAACAAGTGGTTGACTTGGAAACAAATCTTGCAGATTAGAAGGGATTATGAACACACATTTTATTCTCATATTGACAATAGACGCAATACAAATATGGGCCATGGATGAGATGTCCTAGACATATTGGAGTAGGCCTTTTTGTGGAACTTTTTTCCAGGAAAAAGAAAGTTGATGGGAGGATACCACCCAAATTCTCACCATCGACAGAAGAAAAACCATTTTGGAGGAGTCGTTGACGACAAAGAACCTCTAAAATTTGATCAGTCTCTCTCCTTTATCCTATGCTTTACCCTCCTTGTTCTTTTGATTTTGTACAATGGAATCTGTTTTTTTATTAGCGCGTGGGGAAAAGACTTTGTAATCAAAGCAAGAAGAATCTATTAAAGAGCATGTTGATATTGACTTTAATTAGCATGCTATTGCCATTAGAACTGTTGATTCAACGTAACTCATATCATCGACAGGTTGGAGGTGTAGGCATTGGCTTTATTTCTATCTTTGCTTTATGCATCGAAATGGAATTCTTGATTTCAGTGGCAGCTGTTGTGATTGTAGCATACAGTGAAAAGAATCAATTGTTAAAACAAGGAGAATTTTATAAAGGTGCCATTGAAGTTTGACTTAAACTAGTTTTCCAGTACTGATAATTAAATATTATACTTTCATCACAAAGCAACAACAGGTAAAGGCGGTAGAAAGTATTGCACGGTTTTGCCATGATGATTAAGGTATAAAAAGAATGATTGCAACTGGAATTGCATGCTTTAAGCCTTAATTTAACCATACCATGTTAATCCGTATATAGATATAATAAACTTCAGTAGAAAGCATGTTATGCATGCTGGAGAGCAGAGGGAGTTAGCTGTACTTGAAAAGTTCTTTCTTCTGTTTTTTTGGGTTCATTCAAGCCAATTTCTTTACATTTCTGGACAGGAATAGATAGGTGGGGATTGAAATTATAAATAGGCAATTCATCCTCAAATCAATAGTGCTAGCTGCTTTTTATGGACCTAATGATCAATATCTGCAAATTGTCCCACTCCTCAACTTTTATACTTATTTCAAAAGTCTATAATACAATTAATCAAAACCTAGTCATTCAATATATAACAAAATTGAGAAAGCTAGTCAGTCAAGCAGCCATTGTTGATAAGTTCCTCACTTCTCAATTTTATCTTTAATAATTTTTAATAAGAACTATAGAGTTGGGGTGTTGATAAACTGGAGCTCAAGGCAGCGAGGACAAAATCAACACCGGTTCTAGGCGGGGCGTTTTCATATGCACGAGAGGTTAAAAGTTTAACACTAAAACTTTAGCAACCACTGAAGCACCGAGTGCCAAAATGACGGCATATATATATATAAATATATATATATATATAGCTGCAGTAATATTTGAATCATTTAATTCCACGCCACAGAACCAATATATAGTAGCTAGTGCAAGAAAAGTGTCACATCTTTTCAATTGCAAAAGTTGTTTGTTTGAAAAAATGTCGAGATTTAGGCATGGGAAAAATTTTGGAGAAGCCCGAGGCCTAATCCATGATTGAGGAATACTCTCTTTTCCTTTTCTCTTCTCATGTGCGATGTCTTTATCTTCTTTAAGATGTTTGATAGAAATAAGGGGTTGATATTCAAAGATGGTGATGAAAATAAAAAATTTATTAAAAATTAGAGAAAAAAAGTGATGAGGCTTTTTTGAGACTTTGTACAACATATCCGACGTTGTCGGGATAAGAAGAGGGGAAAAAGTACGTAGTTATGCCTTTCGTATCCCTTGTTTGGTGGCATGGCCTAGAATCCCGCCACTTGTTTGCATTCAACTCTTAATTTTCCTTTATTTTTTTTCTTTTCGGGTTTGCCTTCATTCAATTTTAAACACGCAACCGTTTTGAAATTTCTTTTAGGATTTATATTTGATGAATGGTTAGTGTATAAATTTTATATATTATTAGTAAATAAAATAATATTATTTTATTAATAAAATAAATCAAATAATATCATATCATTAATGAATAAAATTTTTTTAAAATTAATTTTTATATATTTATTTTAAAAATTAATATTTATACATTATTTATTAAATTAACAATATATAAAATTTATATATTGGTAATATATTAAATATAACCTCTATCATTCATTCATTGGATCAATACAAATAGGACCACTTATTCTGCCAATTAATCATGAGGGACCCTTTTCTACGAGAGCCAATGGTGGTCTGGGAATGAGTAATCATTTTTTCTTTCCAACTTTCAACAAGATCATTAGAACATTCTCCCTTCCTTCTTTCAAATTGATCAATATCACTAGAAAAAGTTTTATCCTACCTAAAGTAATCATACTTAAATACACTGGTCAAGTTTTATTACTACCCTTGTTGTCGGTAAGATCAAATGTTATTGGTAGATATAGCTCTTCTCTATGAAGGTATGTCCAAGTTAATTAAATAAGTACACACTACCAGTATCTATAATCTTCAATATAAGTATTAAATTTGAAGTTGGTTGATGATATATATAATTCATATATAGTAATGTGCTATTACAATGTAAAAATTTTATTTTTATCAGCTAACGGGCCAGCATGTAAGATAATGACTTCTGTCCTATCCATCTTTCTTTGAAATAATTGTAAGCAATCCCTTATTGGCTTGAGAAAAGAATCCCCTTTGTCTCTCCCTCTCTTTTGAATGTTCGAAAATTAACGTCCATATATGTCCTACACTGCCTGAGAAAATGCATGGACCAGTACTCGAACCATTCCCTCAAACGCCTAAAACAATCCGACAAACCATGTGGCTCAGGTGAAAATTAGAAAACATGGCCACCTTGATGATTGTAGAAAGGATAAAAAGTGAGAATTATTATGATCATTTCGGTTAGAAAGAGATATTATCAAATCACCTAGAGATTGCTAGGCTTGTAGAGAACAAATTTATGAAAATGGTAGACATGTTGATTAAGTAACGATAATGGTTGACAAAGCTACCCCATCTAAGAATAATTTTCACTTTATTTATATTAATATCATTTATATATTCATCAACACAACTCGTAATAATAACCTTCTGACTTTAGGAACTAAGGTATAATTATATATAGGAACTAAGGGTAATTCTGTTATACACTAGCATTCACCACGTGGCACAGTGGATCGGATGATGACAAGGATGAAGACGATGATCTAGTGAAACTCCAGAGGTCTATTTCGCTGTTATAATCCTGAGTTCCATGGTAAGACCTGTTGGACGATGTCGATGATGATCGAAGGGCTGGTAATTGGAGATCATGATGATCAGTACTTGAGTTGCAGTAGGCCATGGGGTGGTCACTGAAGCAGGCCAATTGCCTAGAAGTCTCTGTTTGGCCATTGAGTTGAGATGCTACAAGCCGGTCAAGTGCTGCCCAGTTGGTGAGCCCTGAGTCATTGTGATAAACTGAGTTGGGATCACCACTCACCTGGTTGGTGATTGAACCTTCATTGCCTGTCATCATAGGTTGGAAACAGTTTTGGCTGTTGGTGGAGTTTGGGCTCTCTAGGCTTGGTAGTTTCATGAATGAGTCCGGGTAGCCGTTGCTAATGGCTGTCTCGACGGGCCTGAGGAATCTCGTACTGTTGTTTGCTTCACTGTCTTCCTTGCAATTCCTTCCCATGTATTCGAGTATCTGCTCCAAGGCTCCTTCATTGCACGCACTGAACATATGGTTCCTGGTTTCTGCAGTGAGAGATGAGCTAATAGGGCTGTCTAGATTTTTGTGGTGATTTTTCTTCTTGAATATACGACATACCACCCACCCCTCTTCCTGTGTCCCCTCCCCCATAGCATTGGAGACCTTGATTCAAAAAGAAAAAAAATTTACTATTAATATTAACTTAATGTCACAAAATAATATAATATGAATTGAAAGTATATATTGGTATATATTTCTTTTAGAACCTAACATTAGTTTTTCTTTGTCCTGTCCTCTCAGAGTTGTATACTTGTGTTATAGTGGAAGAAATAACACTTCCAAGTTGAAAGTCTAAAGTTTTGACATTATTTTTTCCTAATAGAAAAGATGATGATCATAGGAAAATGCTAGTAATGAACGACGGAGAAGAATTTTTGAGCTTCAAGGCTTACGTTGGTTTCAACGATGTTATCGTCTAGTCTGTATTCATGCATGATCCAATCAGATTTTTGGCCATGAGGGGCTCGTCCTTTGTAAAACACCAAAGTCTTTCTCATTCCGATCCGCCGGCAGTTGCTCTGTATAACCTTGTCACGGCCGGTCGCTTTCCAAAACCCCGCAGCAGTAGCACGGTTCGTGCGAGTCCCAGTAGGGTACTTCTTGTCTTTGTGGCTAAAAAAGTACCAATCATTCTGAGGAGTGGTTCCAATTTTGCACCTCTCTGCAAGAACCTCCGGAGGACATATAATAAATTAAAATCTAGGCAATGGAACAAAAATGAATCAGGGTAGTATACATAATAATACTATACCTTGAATATCCCAGGGCTCCAGCTTGTTAAGATCAACATCCCGAATTACATCTAAATCGATCTTCTCATATGAAACTTTCTTCCTGAGATAATATTGCAAGAGTTCTTCTTCGGTGGGATGAAATCGGAATCCGGGAGGGACTTGAGATTGTCCATTTACAGATATGCTCATGTTTTCCGGCATTAATTAAATATATAAAAAAAGAAGAAAATAAGAATATTGATCAGATCAGAAAGAGACCAAAAAGAAAATAGAAAGGTGGGAGATGAGAGAAATAACTGATGATAAAGCTGGTGTACCAAATGGAGTATGTAGAGAAGTCTATATATATGTGTTGCAGGACAAAAAAAAAAAAGAAAAGAAAAAAGCTGTGTTTTTTATGGGCACTGCATGCTCGGCAAATTAAGGCCTTGTGAGGAAAGGAAGTGGGGTTCAGTTTTACTATGCTTCGAGAAGAGCCAGCTACCTACATGGACAGAGAAAGGACACTGTTTTGGGAAAAAAAAATGTTGAAGTGGGGTCCAATTTTGATGGTTATCGGAAGGAGCGGTAGGACCCGGATGGACGTTGTGGGCAACTAGAGTGCGGGGGGCACGCCTCCATCAAAATGGTGACCTTCGACCTTAAAATCTCCACAGAAAAGCACCTCTTAAACTACCAATCCGTCAGCCGAGTCATTTCACCCTTCTCTATCTATCTGATCTCTTCTCCCCTGCGGCTCGTGCAGCCACTCCCCCCCTCCCCCCCTCTCCCCAACAAGAAACAGAGACAATAAGGGGTAGGCATTAAATTTGAAGGAGAGGGAAAGAGTAAGTTGTAAAAGAAATGATTAATTGGGAGTGGTGGGCATTCTAGGGTCCAATTAACGGTTATTTAACATTTATAGACATTAATAAAAATTAATTATATTATTTTTAAAATATTTTATTTAATGCATTATTTTTATTAATTAAAAATAAAACATTAATTACAAATTTTATTTTTTTAATCAATGAAAACTAAGCACCAGGGAAAATTACCCATATATAATAGTAGTTAGCTTTTTTTCTTGAAAATCCCAAAGAGGCAAGACTTGCATTTACTTCTTCATGATTATACCTCGTTTTCACTTGACCTATTGTTTCCCTTTTTTTTTTTTTGTATTTTTTCATTTTTTTTATTTACTTCAAATTAGGTTAGCCGGCTTGTATAATTAAATGTGAAAGGCTGAAGCTTGTTTCTAACTATATTTTCACTGTAGTAAATATATGTCTTTGATATTTTTTAGACGTTTTCTTCTGCTGTGAACTGTTCCTTTTAACGGTCATATCAATAAATAAATATGATGAATAATATTGGCACTTTCTTGTGAACACTTTTAGGATGTTAGAAGTGAATCATCCTTTTAACAGAACAGAACAGAACAAACAGATTATTTCCTTAATTTTGGTGCTTAATAATGCTTATGTCTAAATATTTTATATAATATATTTGTGCACGTACATTTTTCAATGCGTATATTTATATTTCTTAATATTTACTTTTTTTTTTTTGGAATATTGGGTTCAAAGAATCTAGATGCAGTTGGTCCAAACCAACATATAATTATAAAGACAAAGAAAAGAAAATGTCAAAAAATATCAGCCAAGATTTTAAAAAGTGGTCAAATTAACGTCTCAAAAACCCACTTAGATTGGGATAAAATATATTAAATCAGCAGATATGATTGGTTTACAATTACAATTTTTTTTTTCATTTTAGATAATAAATTAGATAAGCCAATTTTGCAAACACTTGCGTAAGAATTATACCAGACTAGTACAATTTATAAAAATACTACAATCTATTAAAATAATATGTTTTAAAATTTAAAAATAACAATAACGAGATAATAATAATTTATCATTTTTTTTTTAATCTCACTTTGTCCGCTAAGTCACAAGCAGTGACACGGAATTGTGTATTTAGTTAAGAAACTTTTGAAGGTCACCATTCTAATCATTTTATTTTGCTCCCAATTCCTTGCCTCTATCATTTTTTTTTCGGTTGATAAAATGACCGACCAACCACTTTACACTTTAGTTACTAACCGGCATTATTTTTTGTGCCTTTAGCTATCTTTATCTTTCAATTTTTTCTATATATTTGACACGCGCAGAGGTATATCATATAGTGTTTATTTACTAGTAGATTATACTTATATTGTCGTTATTGTTGGGGAATGAGTAAGTTATAAGATAATAATTTAGTTCAATAAGTGTCGTAATGATTTTATGTCCGTTCGATGAATTTAAAAACGAAATAAAAACATAATGGAGTTATTATCAATTTTTTTTGTTAGGTACGATTGATCACCTATTAAAATATATCATTTTAATAAAATCTTAAATTAATTAAAATTTATTAAAAAGATAATTTTAGGATTTGCGTAACATTCTGGGTTCGGGAATCAATTATGCATGAAAAATGATTAGCACCCCCACAACTTCCGTTTAAAATGGTACCAATTAATTACATGTTATCCTTTGATTTTGATCAAAAAAATAGTCCATTTTCGGTGTTTGAAAAAAATAATTTTCTTGATTTTTTTGTTTATTGCATTTTTTTGGTTTTTTCTTTTGATTTATTGGAAATTGATTTTTTAATTTTATTTTATTTAATAATTTTTACTTAGTACCCAAATTTTATCCGAGAAAAATAAATTAGAACTTTTTTATTAAAATAATTCTTAAAATGTTTCATTACGTTGGTAACATTAGAAGAACTCCTTATTACCTAGAGATTTCTTAAGCATCGCTTCTTGATATACCTTAGAATCTCATCTTTAAAGGTCCGAATTTACTTTTCGTAAAAATTATGTCATATATGCAATGCAAATAATAACATATTAATGCATACATTTTATTTTTTATTAAAATTTTTATTATTTTTTATTAATATTTTCATTAAAAAAAGGAAAAAAAGGAAAATTTATTATATTTAAGATTTTTTATAAATATTTCAATACACTAGTAATATTTAAAAAAATATATCTTCTTACCTAGAGATTTCCTAAAGCATCTTTACTCTGAGTACCTTTGAATCTCATCATCAGATAAAAATTTATTTTTTCTTCATTTTTATTAATTTTGTATTATTATTAAGTTTATTTTAAAAATAACAAAATTATCACAAATTTTTACTATATATTTCATTATTTATTTTTATTTATTAATATTATAAAACAACAAAAATTTATTCTAGCAAATTTAAACATTTTTACATGCATAAATATTAATAACAAATTTTAAAATAACAACAATAATATTTAAAAAAAATAAAATTTTTTTTACTTGAACCGGACCGGTCAACGATCCGATCAACATGGGTCTGGTCGGATCGACGGCTCAGTCCTGTCTGGTTCTGTCTGGCGGTTCAGGGACGGTCCGGCTCGGGGACCGCCTGGTTTGGTCTAGGTCGATTCGACTGGATCGGTCAGGGGCTGAAAGAGACGCAGGTCACCGGGTTGGTTGCACAAACCCTGAATCGGGTAAGCGGGTTGATGCACGGACCGTGGGTGCTTAAAACGACGTCGTTTTGGGCAATTATTGAAACGTCGTCGTTTTGATTTTGACAGTTTATATAAAAGGTCCCCAAATTTTTTTCAATCATTTCTCATTCTCTAAAAAAAAATATATATCCTTTTTCCCTTTTTTTTTTTTTTCTTTTTTCAAGTCGATTAGGGCCAGTGGCCATCCGCCTTGACAACCGTCGTGGTCCTCGCCGGTGGTGAGGTGAAAAAATTCAAAAAAAATCTAAAATGCTCCTCTTAATCTCCTGAATATAGATCCAACCTCTTTTCCACCGAAAAGAAACGTAAACAACCTAGATCTACTTTTAAAGTTTCGGTTAAACTTTTTTTTATATTATTTCTGACTTTTGATTTTTTTTTACTTACTTTTTCTCTTTTTTGTTTATAGGAAGCTCTCGGCGCTAGGTTCATTCCTGCGGGGAGGACTGTGTTGATTTTTTTTTTTGCAGAAAGCTTTTTCCTTTCTTTTTTTGGTAGGATATCTCCCTCTTTCCTTCTTTTGGGTTCGATCGGGAGTTCTATTTATAAAGCTCCGATCGTGCCCAGTGCCATTCACTCAGGCACAGAGCACGACATGGGGTGTAAGTACGAGCTCCTTACCCCTTTTATCTTTTTTATCTTATTTGACAGTTAGGAGTATAGATAGGATGGATAAAGTTTGCAAGGTATGGGTTACCACGTGATGGGTGATCAGAGGGTAGGGCATGGTGGCTAGTGGTGCCTGGCAAGGCACCACTGCTATCAACCTCTTTTTTTATTTTTTTATATTTTTTTGATATTTTGTATTTTATATTTTGGTATTCTGTATTTTGGTTTAATTTAATAAAACAAAAAAAATATAAAAGGCAGGCTGGGCTTAAAAAATAAAATGGGCTTCGGGCCCAATCAAAATTAGACTTTAGGCCCAGTCGAATTGAAATCGGGCCTGAAGCTTAATTGAATTGAAATTGGGTATCAGCCCAATAGCTCGAGAATTATTAATAAAAAAATTAGATAAATTTGGTGTCTATAGTTGTCTCTCTTTGCGTATTGCTGAGAATCAAGAATAGGGCAAAGACAAAGACAAAAATTTTGTCCAGAATCTAAAGGGATTTTTTTTTTTGAACATAAACTACTCAGAAAGTTTTTCTCATCAAATCGAAAATGCTCCTCTCACTTGAGGCTCGATAACTTTTGAAAATTTAAAATCTGAAAGAAGCTCCTCTCAGCAAAGGTTCAACAACTTTAGAATTTTATCTTGAAAAAGATCCTCTAAGCAGAGGCTTAACAACTTTAAAAATTCATCTTCAAAAGTTTCTTTCAATAGAGGCTCAACAACTTTAAAAATTCTTATCTTGAAAAAGCTCATCTCAGCAAAGGCTCGATAACTTTAAAAATTTTATATAGAAAAAGCTCCTCTCAGCAAAGGCTCAGCAATTTTAAAAATCTCATATGAAAAAGCTCCTCTCAGTAGAGGCTCAACAACTTTAAAATTTTGTTTCAAAAAGGTTCATCTCGATAGAGGCTCAAAAACTTTAAAAATCTCATCTAGAAAAGCTCATTTCAGAGAGGCTCAACAACTTTAAAATTCTTATATGAAAAAAGCTCCTCTTAATAGAAGCGCTCAACAACTTTAAAAATCTTCATATTAAAAAAGCTCCTCTCAGCAGAAACTCAATAACTTTAAAAAATATTGAAAAAAATTCCTCTCAATAGAGGCTCAACAACTTTAAAAATCTCCTATGTTCTCCAAATCGAGTTTTCATCCTTGAACAAGTAAATTTCTCTCTTTTAAAATTTTTTGTTTGATTATTATTTTCATTTGAATATCAAAATCTTGTTTTTCATTAGGAAATGAAAAGTTTCTGTCCTTATTATAACTGCTCATGGATGTATGTACTGAGTGCTCTAAATGTAAGGCATATAATGCAATTAAAATTATTCATTGTGGTAAAAAGGTTCTCAAAATCTCTAGCTTTTTGGATTCTTTTATTAT